TGTTTCTGGGGTGATGGGAAAGTGGGGGGTATGGGGGAGGTTGAGGGGGGGCTAGGCGGGGGTCTCGGCGGCCCGGCTCTCCGCCTCGCTGGCGCTGGGGGAGCTGCGGGAGGAACGGCGTGTGCTCTCCCCGGTGTCCTGCTCCTCGTCCCATCTGTCGAAGGCGAAGTGGTGCCGGGAGCCTGGGGGGCTGTGCGAGAGAGAGAGGGGTTAGTTGGGGGGGGGACACGGAGGGGGGGACACATGGAGGCTCCATGTCACAGCGACACACGCTCCAGGAGCCGCGGTGAGCCGACACGCTGGCAGGCAGCTGGATGGAACCTCCATCGCCACCTTTTTTTATGATTTTTGAGATATTTGGGGCACACTCCGCCACGACTGATGCCCCACCGGGCTGAGCTGAGCCCCTGCTCTGCAGCGAGGCCGAGCCCAGCCTGCCCAGGTGGCTGCAGCCCCCCAGCCCCCCACACTCCGAAAAGGGCATGTGGCCATGGACACACACACTGGTGCTCATGGGTGTCACCACTCCAGGGTCCCGGTCACACTGGAGCCCATGGCTGGGTGCTGGGGGTGTTTCTGCCCCCATGACACCTTCCTTGGCCCTGGGACAGGAAGCACAACCACAACCACGTTTCCAAAAGGCTTTTTTCCCTCCTCCAGCCCTTCTCCCACTCAAGCTGTCGGAAAGGATCAAACCCACTCTGAAATCACTGCTGGTGAGCCGCAGTGTGCCCTCTCCTCTGCCATCAAATGGGGTGCAGAGCCCCCCAGACCTTGCAGGGTGACCCCGATTCCCTGTCACCATCACCCTACGTGGCACAGGGCAGCAGGATGTGGCCACCCTGAGAAACATCTCTGAGCCCCGGTTGCCCACCCCGGTTCACACACTGCAAGGCGTGCGTGTTAGTACCCGCCTCGCTCCTCCCCGCCACCTTCAGGACCCACTGACATCCCGGCAAACCCTTAAATTTCCTGAAGGAATAGATTCAGCTGCATCCCAGGAAGGGATTAGCACTTCCCAGTTGTCTCATAGCTGCTAATCCCAAACATGCCACGTCCTGGCAGTCGCCGGTCCCGCTGTGGCCATGCCAGGGATGCTCCCCACGGCTGGAGATGCGTTGAGGGGACGCCCTGCAGCACCCCAAAACCAGGGCTGGCTGCAGGAGCAGCAGGGTGCTCCATCCCGGGGTGCCCGGCGGAGGTGGTCTCCGTCCCCCAGAGCCAGGCGAGGGTTAGGGTGAGTGGTTAGTGGCACACGGGGAGGTTCATGCTGCACGGCACACACTGCTCCCACCTCCTGCCTCAGTCGCTCTCGGGGCGGTACAGGTACTTCATCATCAGGCTGTCAACCTGCTTCTTCCGCTGTTTCTCCTCTTTTTTGCCCCGGCCGGGTCGTCCCGGCTCCTCGCCCCCCGCTGCCCGTGGGCCCTTCTTGACACTGGAGGTGCTGCGGTAGGAGCTGGTGGATCCGGAGGAAGAATCGGAGGATGAATCGGAGGAGGAACCCGAGTCGGATGACGACTGCTGCTTCTTCTTCTTCTTCTTGGATTTCTTCTTGGCCTTCTTGGAGTGCTTCTTGGCGCTCTTCTTCTTCCGCTCCTCCTCTTCCTCGGAGGAGCCCGAGCTGCTGCGGCGCCGGCTGGAGCGCCGGGAGAAGTCGAGGGCGGACGCGGAGCGACGGATGCTGCCGGGGGGGCGGTCGGCGGCACCCAGGGGGGCTGCGCTCCGTGTGCTCCGCACGCTCCGTACGCTCCGGCTGTCGTCCCCTGAGTCGGCCTCGGGGCTGGAGCAGCCCCTGGCCCGTGGTGGGCGGTAGCTCAGCACCTCCTGGATGGCGGCTTCCAGGTCGGGGTCGAGGTAGGAGCGGTGCCCCACAGGGCGGACATCACTGGGACTGCCATCCTCGGAGGCGGCGCTGCGGGGCCGGGGGGGCACGGAGAAGCTGCGCCCCAGGGGGGGCTGCCCGCGGGACCCCTCATCCGCCTCCTCCAGGCGGCTGCGGGCCAGGGAGAGCCGCGACTCGGGGCGACCCTCAGGTCCCCCACGCCGGCTCCTCAAGCTCCCGGGGCTGGAGAGGGCGAAGCTCAACACCGAGCATCTCTCATCCCCCTCCTCCCCATCCTCCAGCCTCCAGGAGGTGGAGGAGGCCCGGCTCACCGGGGCAGAGGCAACGGAGGCTTTTTCACCATCAGCGGCCGAGAGTGACCAACGCTTGCCCAACCCTTGCCGAGCCCGCTCGCTGGCGTCGGCGAAGGCGCGGGCGATGACGGCCGCCCGGTCCTCGGGCTCGCTGCCCCGGGCCGCCCTCCGTGCGGGACGCTCAGGGGATGGTGGCCGCTCGCTGAGCGCGCTGAAAAGCGTCTGCTCATCCCCACGGCCACCTATGGAGTCTTTGAGACCCGGACGCTTCCTATAGCTGAGGCAGCTCAACACCGACACCGGTCGCTCCTCGGGCTCGGGACCGTCCGGCGGGGCTGACCTGTGCCGGCGGCACCGCGGCCCCACGCACGCAGCGGGGAGATGAGAGAGAGATGGAGATGAGCGGGGAGAGGAGAGGGGGGGGGATTAAGGGGTGGGGGCAGCACAGCGGCGAGGCAGCGGCGGTGATTTGCGTCAGCGGGAAATAGCATCGCGGAAAAAAATGTCATGTAAATGGGGGAATTGTTCTTGCCGCCACTTTGATTCCCCTTTAAAGTGTTGCGTTCAATTTATTTCATTGTCGGCTACCTGGAGCCGCCGCGTTTGATTCCTGACTTCAGAAAAGGTGGAATTATCTCCAATAACAAAATGTTTTACATCTGCACCGCTGAATAAATTAAACCAATTAAGAAAAAACGGCTCAGATCTTTCCCCCCCTGCTTGGCAGAGGAAGGGGGGGGAGGGGGAGCCCCCCGGGACTCCCGGAGCCCTGCTAGGAAATTGGGTTTGGATAAAAGCAATCTGCACTCAGCAGGCAAGTGCCTTCCCTGGGGAGCAGGAGCAGGGCTGCTTGCCCCAGCCCCACGCTGGCCCTGCGCTGCGGGGGACCTGGGCATGTCCCCCCCACTCTGGGGGTGGTGTGGGTCACTGGGGTTTGCTGAGAGGAGCAGGGAGGGATGCGGTGGGAGCTGCAAACGAGGGGAGGATGGGAGGGATCCAGCCTCAGAGTCAGGGGACGATGCACAGAGCTGGGACCCACCACTGTGACCCCCCGGTGAGGCAGATGGGGAGGGGGCTGCAGATGCCCATGCACCTCCAGGGTGGGTCCCAATGCCACAGTGGGTCAGATACTGGGAAGGGGGACCAGGGAGGTCCCCTTGGGTGGGGGGATGTGTCCCCAGTGGAGACAGAGCCACTCACTAACATTAACCCTTCCTTGGCCAGACACACAAGCACCCACAGTGCCACATCCCATGGGTGCCCTCCCCGCACCTCAGACACCCCCTGGCACAACCCACCCTGTCCTCTGCCAGCCGGCCCTGCACCCACCTGCTGCTCTTCAAGCTGCCGTCATCCGAGAGCGCTTTGGAGGAACCTTTGTTCTTGGAGAGCCAGGACTTCACCCCGTCCACACGCTCCTCCAGCTCCGAGTCCACATCCGAGTCGCCGTCACTGCCGGAGGAGCAGGTTGGGGCAGGAGAAAGCAAGAGGTGAGCAGGGGGAAGTGAGATTTTGGGTGCTGGGGAGGCAAAATTGTGCCAGGCTCCCCCCCAGCACCCACTGCCTGTGCACCCTGGCATGGGCTAAACCCTGTCCCATGGTCCTGCTCCACCTCCCAGCCTACAACCTGCATGCATACAGCTCAGCCTGAAAGCTAGGGGCTCCCCGAAGCACAGCCGTGCCACGCACCCCCAAAACCACCCCCTGCCCAGCCAAGGAGCTCCTACACCCTGTGCCCAATGTCCCCTCCTGCCACTGCACAGCTCTGGGGCTGGAAAGATAAGTCATTGGGGCTGGCATCAGGGCAGCAAGGGGCAGCAGGCGGGGCATGGCTCCAGAAACACGGGAAATTTCCAGCTCCGGGGCTGGGAAGAAATTAAGTGGGTTCATTTTATAGGCCACCGTCGAGTGCAAAATTACAGCGAGGAAGAGCGATGTTGATGGCCCTGGGTAAACAGGAGTTTAGCAGGCAGAACAGAAACGACTCCGGCAAGGCGGGCGCAGGAGCGCGGCGGGCAGATTTACAGCCCTGCCGTGCCGGAGAGCCCCTGATTTACGTCCCGGCGTAAAAAAAAAAGCCCTATCTGGCTTAAACCATCTAATTTATAACGGCTGTTCGTAACCATATTGATTGCCTTTAGAAAGAAGGTGCCGTATGCATTGCAAAATCCATTCCTCCACGTTAAAAGCATCCCTGCATAAATCTCTCTTAATACCTAACTGCTTACTGCTTTCATTAGGGTTATGGCGGTACCGGCGGGATCTATAAGGAAATCGAAGCGGCACGGCCCCCTCTCTCCCCCCCCCCCTGCCGGGCAGCCAGAGGCGAGGGCTCCCCCCGAGCCACTGCCAGGGAAGGGATATATTGTATGATCCTAAACGGCCGGTTTATCTGCCCAGGTTTGGGCTTATTCCCTGCCTGGGGACGGTGGCAGAGGGCTCGGGGGGACGGGCTGGGATAGACCCTGCATATGAATCCTCCTCGTTAAATTCAAAGCAAGGAGCCGCACTCCGGCACGTGCGTCTCCCTCCCCTGCAATACATCCAGGCAATGCTCGGCTTGGAAAAATAAAAAACAACAAAAAAACAAACCAACCAAAAACACAGAATGACACAGAAAAAAAAACCCAACCAAACCCACAACCGACGAGCCCCGTAAACAAACTCCAGGGGCAGCTGAGGTTTTATAACCGGCGGAATTAAACTCCATGTCAAATGCAATTTATATCCGGGCGAGCGTGCCATTAGTTAAGCGGGACCCGGGTCACGAGGGAGCGCCCACGATGAGGGATGTTAATTGTGCGTGGCAGCGGGGCTCCGTCACGTCCACGCCGATACACAGGCTCATCATTAGCCATGGTGGAGCATCACCCCCCGCCCTGCCCTGGGGGCTCATCCCCTGTCCCCCCCCCAGCATGGGATGCGGTTACGTGCCGTGCCGTGGGTGCTGTTAGGGCATGCGGAGGTGGGCCAGTGGCATGCGGGGGCCCCGGCCCGTGGGGGTGAGGTTGGGGTTAGGGGAGGGGGGGGAAAAGGAAAGAGGAGGTCCTCACAGTTTACTCTTTCTTTTCTGATACTTTGCCACCATGTCCTGCAAACTGGGAGGGGTTTGGGAGGGGAGGGTCGGGATGGGAGAAACACAACAGAAAGGAAATCAAATGAAAGGAAAAAGAAAAAAAAGAAAAAACCAACTGGGTGGGGAGCAAAGGGGGAGGAAAATAAAATGGTGGGGAAGGGCCAAAGGGGAGGGAGATGGGGCTGCTCTGCACCCCTGGCGTGGGCTGCATCCAGCTGGATCCCAGTGTCCTGGGTTGGGTTGGATCCCAGTGTCCTGGGTCAGGTTGGATGCCAGAGCTCCTGCCAGCCTGTGCTGCCCTGGCTCCTGGGATCCCTGGGCTGTTTCCAAGCAGCCAGCACGGCCCTGGCTGCCTTTCAGGCACCTCCACAAGCGGGTGAAGGCGCAGGGTGGCTGTGGGTGCGGGGAGGGATGCACAGATGCACGGCCTGATGCACGTGGGCATGGGTGCACGATGCACGGGTGCACGGACAGATGCACAGGTGCACGATGCATGGATGGACGGACGGACAGACGGCATCCTGCCGGGGCCAGGCAGAGCCCAGGGGTCCTCGTGGCATTTCAAGGAGAAGCGGTGAGCCCCAGTGACGTGCCTCGCGCGGCAGCCAGGCCCGGGCGCTCTCACCTGTTGATGAGGTCCTCATTGCTGTCACTCTCCATCTCATCCTCGATGGCCGCCTGCAGGTCCCCGATGCGCTTGAAGGCCAGCTTCAGGTCCGACTGCAGGCTCTGGTTGGCAGCTTCCAGGCTCTCCAGGTCCATCTCCTGTGGGGAGGAAGCAGGATGAGTGGGGTACCCCACAGAAACCCTCTCGTCCCCGCGCCCGGTCCCATCGTGGGTGCCTCACCAGCTCGTGTTTCTTGCGGCTGGCCTCTGCCTCCTTCTTGGCCAGCTCGCCCATCTCCTCCTTGACGTCACGGAGCTGCCGCTGCAGCCGCTTGTTCTGCTCCTTCTCCCGGTTCTCGGCGGCCGCGCGCTGATCCCGTTCCTCCGTCAGCTTCTCCATGTTCTCCTTCAGCCGCGTGGCCAGGCTCTGTGGAGCGGCGGGTGCGGTGTCACCCCAAATCCCCCCCACAGACCCCCCCCCACCCTCCAGCAACACCGACCAAGGGCTCACGTGAGGAGCCCTCCCATCCCCATCCCCATGACTTCACACAAGGAGATGGAGGAGAACCCCCTCGCCCAGGGCCAGGAAAAGGGGCAGAACAACCCGCGGAGGCTTTGCCGAATTGGAAAAATAGATTTAACTGTGTGTGAAGTAATTACAGCGTGTAACGTAGGGAAAAAATAGCTCCCATTCTCCCCCAGCCGCTGAGCCAGCCGCTGCATATTTATGGCCCCGGCAGAGAGAGAGGGGAAGGGAAATAACAGCTAGGAAGATATTAAGAGGAGAGCTAAGCTGCTCCACTCCCCCAGCAGAGCTGCAGAGGCAGAATATAAAGCAGGCTGCGTTTAGCGGGGCCGGGAGAGTCTATAATTTCCCTAAGTCAATGCAGGGAAACAGCAGCACTTTGCGGGGCTGGGTGGTGGATTACTGTTATCGGCGCTCGCAGGGAGCGTTCCCCGCGGGGCCGGGCTGACGGCAGCGGAGGGCTGCGGCGTGGGGGGTCCTGGGGTGGGGATATTGGGGATGAGCTCGGCAGACCCCCTGGGCAGCTTGGCATCGTGGTCCCAGCTGAAGCAGAGGGATCACCCAGTGCCTACCTCCAGGCGCTTGACTTGCGTCCGCTCGAACTCCAGCCTGGTCTCCAGCTCCCGGATCTTGGCCTCTTGCCGGCTTACCAGCGACTTGTCCACCATGGATTGCTCCAGGAATTCCAGCTGGCTCTGCAGGCCTTGGAGCTGTGGGGAAGTGGGGGGAGAACAGCTTCAGCTTTGACCGCAACCTCCCTGGGCCCCTGCCATGCTGCCCTGGAACAGAGCTGCCAGCCACGCTGCTCCCATCCCAATGGAGAGCTTCCCATGGGACTGCTCTGCACACCCCAGAGAGCAGGACCTCCCCATCGTGTGGACAACAAGTCTCTGGGTGTCCCCCTGTTCCCCTGGCTTCATCCACAGTGCATGCCCATGCCCATTGTCAGTGTTCCTCACCTTCTCCTGCAGCTCCTGTTTCTCCTTGTTGACCTCCTCCAGCTGTGCCTGGAGGTCATTCATCTGCGCCAGGTCCCTGGATGCCTGTGGGACACATTGGGGACATCAGAGGGGAATCCCGCTGTGCTGGCTCTGAGAGGGGTGTTATAGGAGGCTGGGGGTGCCACAGCTGCTGCTCCCCCCTCACCTGGGCCACAGCCGCCTTGTGCTTCTTCATCAGCTCATTCATGTCCTCCTGGTCCTCCTCCAGCCGACTCTGCACTTCATTCTTCTCCCGCTGCAGCCGGCTCAGCTGCTCCTCCAGCTGCAGGGACCCACCTGTGTCTCCCACTGCACCTCAGGAGACGGGGCATCCCCCCCAAAGCCCACCCCAAACAGCGTGGGGTCACCCTGCCAGCATGCATCGTGCTGGTGAAGCTCTCCCTGTGGCTGCAGGTGGGGCATGGCCCCATCACGGTGCGTCACATCCCAAAAAACACTCACCGCTGACTTGGCCTTGGCAAGGTCATCGATCTGCAGATGCAGGTCTTCAATCTCCACCTCCATCGACTTGCGGGCCTTCACGGCGGCCGCGCAGGTGAACTCTGACTCCTCCAGCTGAGGGGACACAGCTCAGTGCCCGGCCAGGGGACAGGGACACCCTGTGTCCCTCCAGGGCTGCTGTTTTGGGAGGGTCTGGATGCACACCTGGTTCTTGAGCTGGGTGATCTCCCTCTTGCTGGGCGCGTTGTTCTTCAGGTGGTCCAGCATGATCTGCGCATCGGCCAGAAGTGCCTTCGTCCTCTTCAGGTCGCGGCGCAGGCGCTTCTCCGTCTCGAAGTCCCGCTGGTTGGCCTGTGGCAGGGAGGACCGGGCCAGGGCACCATGTCAGAGGGGCACCCACCCCACCATGGCCACCTCAGGGTCCCCAAGATGCCCTGTGCCATACCTGCTCACTGACGGCTGATAACTTGCTCTCCAGCTCCCGTTTCTCTCTCAGCACCTTCTGCTTGTCCTCGTACTCCTCCTCCAGCTGCACCTCCATCTGCTTCAGCTGGGGGACAGCCAGGGCAGCTGGTCAGGGTGGCAGGAAGGGGCCGAGATCCCCCTCCTCGTGTGTCCCCACATACTGGGGACGCCGGGTGACCCCACCGGCCGGGTGTTTGCGCAACCAGAGGTGCAAAGCCTGGCGTGTGCTGGCCCAAGCAGCAGAGGGACCAGTCGGACCTGCCGGGCCAGTGGAGCCGGGCCGTGGCCGCGTGGGAGCTGGGCGCTGCGTGATGGTGCCCAGCTGGCAGCTCCCGGCACCCAGCCGGGGCACGGGGACACATCCTGTCCCCCCCAGGGCAGAAGAGGCCACTGCTGAACCCTACCTTCTTCTGGCACGACTGCCGAATCTCCTCCACCTCCTCGTCGCGGCTCTCCACCTCCTTGGCGTGGGTCTGTCGCAGCCGCTCCATCTCCATCTCCAGCCGCAGCTTGGCCTGCAAATGGCGGGGGGGGACGTGGTCAGACCAAAGGGGACATGGGGACCTTCCCTCACACCACCCCCCAGGCCACTCACCCAGAAAACCCCCCGGTCCGAGGCCGGCCGGGCCGCCCGCCCCACAGTGACCTGCCGGGCCATGGCAGGAGGGCCAGGAGCCGTGTCGGCAGCCGCGATGCCTGGCCCGACGCCGGGCTGAGGGCGACCTCCTCCTCTTCCCGGGCAAGCCCAGCCCAGGTAATGACAGCCCTGCATGAAACCACCCCACCCAGAAACCTCGCCCCTCCCCGCCGTACCTGCTCCAGCATCTGGATGGTCCCAGCCTGCTCATCCAGTTCCTCCTCCTGGTCTTTGACCTTCGCCTCCAGGTCCCTCAGCTGCTTCTTCATCTTGGCCAGGGAGGCCTCGTCCTTCGACTCCTGGGAGGAGAGGTCCTGCAGCTCGGCCTCCAGCGCCTCTGCCTTCTGCGTCAGCCCCGCGATGTCCAAATCCTTATCCTGCCGAGAGAGGGGGTCACCATGAGCCCAGGGTACCCGCTGGTCGGGGGGCTGGGGAGAGGACCAGGGGCCACTCACCTCCAGCAGCTGCTTGAGGCCGAAGACCTCGGCCACCAGCACGTCCTTCTCGCGACTGAGCTTCTCCCGCTGCAGCCTCTCCCTCTGCGCCTCCTCGTGTGCCTGCGAGAGCTCGCTGTCGAACCTGCGTGGGGAGAACGGGGCGGGCGCTCAGCACCCCGTGACGGGCACCGGGGATGGGTACCCTGCCCTGTGCCACTGGCACTGCGCCGAGCATCCCCATCCCACGCCAGCAGGCACTGGGAAGGGCGGCGTCCCACAGGGTACTCATTCCAAACAGGCTGTTGATGAGCTTTTAATGGCCAGCACGGCGGTGCGGAGCCACTTGGAGTAACTCCTTCTGATGCCTTCACTCAGCAGCTAATGGAGAGCACAGAGCCCACAGCGTGGACCCCAGCAGCTCTTTGAGCCACCCCGTGCTGGGGATGGCACGTGCCAGCAGGGATCGTGGCTGGTAACAGTGGGGACTTGGCTACATGGAGGCAGCAGGGGACATAGCACCCTCTAAACAGGACATGGAGGGGCTGCAGGACATGGGGGGAGCTCCAGCAAACATGAACTCTTGCAGCAACTCGGCTCTTCCAGCCGCAGCCTGGTACCATGGTCCCACATGAGATGGCACCAGTCCCAGCCCTGGTGGGGACAGGAGCCCCCGGTGGGACCCTGCGCAGCCTGGAGCCGAGCAGCACTGGGGCAGCCTCTCCCAGTGCCCCTGGGATGGGATCAGCCAGGTTTGCTCTGAAATCGCTGCCTTTGGGGTTTGGAAAACAACCCTGCGCTTGAGTTTGTGACCTGCCTTTAAACACCTCGGCTGCTAATCCCCATTTTTTCCTCGCGCTGGGTAATAAACAGCTGCATTAGCACAGACTCCAATCCGCGGAAATTGAAATTAATTAGATTGGATTCTCTCGCTGTATTTGTGTGTGTGATCATTACCATAATGAGATGAAAGCGTCCCTGCTGCTTAATAACGTTAGCAAACTTTGGGGCTGGGAGAGGGGACGGGATGAGAGAGCGCACCGAGCAGAGCTGCGGGGCACGAGCAGCCTCCACCACGGGGCACGGCCTCCACGTGGGGTGATCACTCAGCTCCGGGACCCCCAAAAGGGCATCAGGGTCCCCCTTCCAATGAGCACATCCAACCCAGGCAGCCCCATCCCTCTGGAGACACCTCGGCCAAGTGGGAGCTGGTGAAGTGCCCAAACCCTTGCTAAAATGGTAATGCCACTTCTCAAGAGGCTCGCTGTGCGGCAAGGATGCCGTCCCCTCCGCGTCCCCACCACCACCCTGCGGTCCCCACCTCCGCTGCTTCTTCTCCAGGTCGTGGTTGCGTCCTTGCTGACCCTCGAGGTGCAGCTTGGTGTCCTGCAGCTCCGCAGCCAGGCGCTGGCACTTCTTCTTCAGCTGCTGTAGCGCCCGCTGGCTCTCCTCGCTGTCTGCCTGCAGGTCCGTCAGCTACGGGCAGGAGAAGGCAGGGTGGTGAGGGCTCCGGGAAGCCAACACGTCCCCGTTGCCCTGGCCACGTGCCCCCCCATGTGTAGCTCTCCAAGCAGGCAGTGACTCCCCATCCCCACAGCGGGGGGACTGAGGGGTCCCCAGAGCCCCCCACTCACCCTCCGCTCCAGCTGCCTCTTGCCCTGCTGCTCCACTTCCAGCTTGTCCTCCAGCTCCTGCTGCAACCGTTTCTTGGTGAAGTCGATCTCCCGTACTGCCCGCTCGTATTTCAGCCGCCATTCGCCTCCTGTGCGGGGAAATGGGGTCACCAAAGGGCTATGAGGGGTGGTACAGGGCCACCATGGAGAGCTGGGGGGGCATGGTGCTGTGACCACAGGGCACCCAGGGTGTGCTGGTGGCAGGACGTTACCCGAATCATCGTCATCGAGCTCCCCGTTGAGCTCGGCCGCCCGGATGAGCCGAGCCTCCATCACCTCCATCTCCATCGACTCCATCTGCTTCTTCAGAGCATCGTACTTGGCCTGGGAGGGGGACACGGCCCGTGGTGAGTGCCGGGGGTGGGGGATCAGGAGACACCGTGACGCCGGGGAGAGGGGCATGTACCTGCAGGTCCTTCATCTCCTTCTCAGCCCGCAGCCTCTCCGCCGTCTCAGCGTCCAGCAGCTGGGAGGCTGACTCGCCGGTGTTTCGCTCGTCCGTCAGCTCCGATGTCAGCTCCGTGATCTGAGGAGGGAGGGGGACGGGACCGTGGGCTGGGGCGGGCACCGGAGCGGGCCAGCACGGCACCGCACCCCCTCCCGGTGCTGGCAAGGACTTACCCTGCTCTCCAGGCGGTCGCTGTTGAGCCGGAGCTCGTTACGCTCTTTCTCCACCTTCTCGAGTTTGCTCTTCAGCTGCTGGATCTCTTCCTGCAACAGAGCGGGCGGTGAGGGAGGGGGCAGGCACAAGGGGAAGAGGTTGGCGGGCAGGAGCCTGGCAGGTCCCCCAATTTCCCCCCCCCTAAGACCCTCCCAGCGCTCGGTGGGCAGGGTGAGGTCTCCCCGGGGCCAGGGCTGGGCAGGGACTTTCCCCATCCCGCTCCACAGCCGTGCAGACTCCAACCCCATAAATGGTGTCGAAACACCAGGCAGCCCCAACAAAGCCAGAGAGGGGTCCCCGCACCCCCTCGGGAGAGGGGATGGGAGCAAACCCCCCCATCCCCAGCTCCCCCAAGAGTTTGGGTGTACGCAGCCCAGTGGGGAGGGAGGGGGCACACGGGCATGTCTGGGGAGAACCAGCCAGCACCGGGGAGGCGTGCCCGGCTGCCAGCTTCAAGCACATCTTTCTCTCCCCTCCTCTGGTCCCAGTACAAGCTAGAGGGAGGGGGGGGCAGGAGGGGGCCTCAGTGCCCCCACCCCAGGTGCCCATTCTCAGCGGGTCGGGGTGAAAACTGAGCCAGGCAGCAGCTCTGTGCCGGGCGAGCTCGGCGGGGGCACGAGTGTCTGGTTGCCAGCATGGCGCGGAGCCCCCGCATATGCCTCTCGGCACACGGTTTCATTTCCATTCTCCACGCCTTGTAATTGGGCTCATGCAACAGCCGGCTCTCGGGATGCTAATGACATGCTGATTCGCAAATTAGGGAGCAATTCGAGCCTGGCGCTGACGGGGCGCGGGGCAGACACGATCCTGCTTCTCCCCCCATCACGGGCTCCTGGATCCCACCCTGCCACAGGGTCCTGCGTCCCACCCCGCCACGGGATCCTGCATCTCATTCTGCCATGGGGTCCTGAATCCCACCCCACTGTGGGGTCCTGCCCAGGACCTCCAGCCCACCCTGCCCCATCTGGTGTCCCCCCGGGTATAGAAACACTCACGTCTTTGCCACGGATCTGGTCCTCGGTGAGCTGCACCTCGATGAGGGGCCGCACGGTGGTGAAGAGCTTCCACCAGGGCCAGCCCTTCACCCCCTTGTTCTTCTTGATGTTCTTCTGCACGCACCGGATGGCCAAATCCTGGATCTGCACAGGGCAGGGTGTCAACACGGGGTGCCACCGGTGGGGCAAAGCTGGGCAGACGGGTGCTCAGCACCCCCGTTGGCACCCTGGCACACTCCCTTTCATTAGCATTTGGGCTAATTGCACCCAGTTTATCTGCTGTTTGAGTCTCTCCAGCCCCTCCAAATGCTAATCTTGCAGAAGGCAGAGGTGCTGCCGAGATGCCTATTTTACACCCTCTTTAATAATAAAAGTAGGAGCCGTTATGTCGCTTCATCCCGCTGCGGCGATGCCCAGCACCCTCCCTGCTGGATCCCCCTTGGTCCCCCCGGTTCCCCCGGCCCCCCACGGCTGGGCGGGAGCCGGGGGGGGGAGGAGGAGGGAGGAGGAGGAGGTGCTGGCCCAGGCGGCGGCAGAAAGGCTGCGCTGCCCATTTTAGGCGAAATTGTGCGGCGGAGCAGGGAGGGGAGAGCTGCTGGGACGAACCTTCCTCTTCTTGAACTGCTGCCGTGCCAGGAAGCCCCTGCACGCCGCCTGGAAAAGGGTGATGTTCCTGCTGGTCTGTGCGTCCCGCTGCTCCTCCAGCCTGGCCAGCGACCCGGCCCGGAAAAACACCTGCGGGAGGGGAGCAGGATGAGATGCCGATGGGTGCCGGCATCCCTCCGGCCACGCCGTGCCACCCTCCCGCCGCACCAGCTGGCGGGGATGTGGCTGTCCCCCTCTGCAGCCACTGGTCCTGTACCACTGTGGGGGCTTTATTCCCCAAGCACGAGGAATGCCGTAGGTGGAAGCGAACAGTGGTGCCCTTGTGCTGCCCCGCCACGCTGTGCCGAGCCGTGCCGCCCACCCCTGCCCCGTGCCGCCGCCGGCACCCACAGCCAGCATCCGGCATCCTACCCGGCTCAAGCCCATGTGGTAGCTGCTCTTCTCCAGGTCCAGTGACTCCAGGAGCTCCTCCACCGCCTGTGGGGATGGAAGGGCATCAGGGCTGGGCTGGGAGAACCCCGGGGTGCAGGGGACCCTCAGGCCACAGCACCAGCCCCAGCTGCAGGGCACCTACCCGCTTCTCGTCCACCACGATGTAGTTGCGCCCGTGCTTCTTGGTCAGGTGTGGGGCCAGGACGTCAAAGCGCCGCCTGAACTCCGCAAACACCATGTGGTCGGGGTACCCTGGGGTGGGGGGGAAAGGAAGAGTGGGGCTGTGGGGGCAGCTGGGACAACCCGGGGATGGCCGGGGACAGCCCTGCGTGCCCTGACTCCCTGGAGCCCATCTTTTGGGAGAGCTGATGGGGTTACCACACGTGGCACAAGGTCCCCATGGGGCCAAGCATGGCCAGAGTGTCCCGACCCTCCCCGGGAGGTTTTCCTTGGCCGTGTCCTCCAGCAATTTTGGCTGGGATGTGGGGAGAAAGCAGCCAGATCCCGCCTTGGGGGGAGGCGGGAGGGGAGCACAGGGACACGTGTGTCACTTGTGCAAGCAAACAGGCCCCGCTCCGGCTCCGCTCTGAGCCGCGGCCAACTCCTGCATCAGCCTCATAGCGCTGAGCCTCCACATCTTAATTAACGACGCGGTATTGACGGGGACGCTGACCCCGGCACAGCCGGCTGGCCGCGGCCATCGATCCGGGAGGTGCGCGGGCGGCATCGATTTCCGATGGCGGCAGGAAGGGTCCGGCCTCCAGGCAATAAAACCTGGGCCGCGGGTATTGATAAATGCTTTGCTCAGCACGACCCGGAGTCCCTCGCCCCAGCGGGACAGGGGCCGGCTGCCAGCGGGAGAGCTGCCAGGAGCCAGCGGCACCAGCAGAGACACCCAATTAAGGCCATGCCTGTCCCCAGAGCAGATAACAGCCCCGCAGGGAAAGGGGGGGGACGGGGACAAGGACCGCCCTGGGGGGGACGGCTGGGCTCGGAGCAAGGGCACATACCGAAGGGATTCCCTGGAAGACTCCGAGGGAGCCTTCCTGAGGGAGGAGACACAGCGGGGTCTCCCCACGACATCCCATCCCCGCAGCCCTGGCATTCCCCCCCTTCCCTGGGGGCTGGGGATGTCGGGGGCACGGCTCACCTTGGCGGTACATGCGGAGGGCATCGAGCAATCGGGAGCCGCGGAGCTGGGCACGCAGGAGGGGCACGTCCAGCTGCATGAGCCCGGCCTCGCAGTGCTCCGCCGGCAGCTCCAGCTCGCTGCCGCTCACCCGCCGGCACGGCAGAGCCCGGGGGTCCCCGCCGCCCCCCGCCGCCTTGGGCAGGAAGCAGTGCACGAAGTGGAGCTTGGACTTCTTGATGCTGTCGATGAGGGCGTCCTGTGGGGACGGGAGAGCAGGGTGAGAGGTGACCCCACACAGCAGCTCCCCACCACCTGGGGACCCCCACCTCGGCAACCCCTCGCTCACCACTTGCAGCTTGATCTGGATGCAGAGGGACTTCTTCTTGACAGCGGCCACCCCGGTTGTGAAGGTCTTGCGCATGCTGGTGGCCCGGCGCAGGGCCAGCTGAGAGCCCCCCTCCAGCCCTGCCACTGAGCCCGACAGCACCAGCGCCGACCCACCGCGGCCGGCAAACAGGCTGCTGATGACCTTCCTGCGGGGCACAGAGGGGACATCACATCCCAAAATCACCTCTCCCCGCTGCTGTACCCCTTTTTTCCCCTGGGACCCCACTCACTTCTGCGACTCCTGCAGCAGGACGGAGGCGTTTTGGGAGGCCGGGTTGTGCTTGACGTGGTTGAGCCAACCCGTGGCATCGTACTCCACCCAGTTGGTCCCTGAGCTGTGACCCAGGAGGAAGTGTCGCGGCTTGTCACTGGGGAGCAGTGGGTTGTGCCCTGTGGGGAGACACAGCACCGATGGGCACGGGGCTGGTGTTTTGCCAGCACACACCATGCCAGGTCCCCCCCCACCGACCTTTCTTGCCCCCTTCCTGGGGGCCGTAGTAAGAGAAGAGCCGCTCCAGCAAGGTGTCCTCGTTACCACCCGGCTGCAGTGCCTCCTCCTCCAGCAGCCACAGCAGCCCCCGCGCCTCGTCCGTGCGGGCCAGCGACCGGACCTGTGGGTGACACTGAGCTTGCACCCATCCCAGCACACCGGTGTCCCCTGGGACATGGGTGAGAGGACACAGGGGACACGGGGAGCATGCCAACTCGGCCGCTGCCAGCAGCAAGGCAAAGTGGCACCATGCAAGAGGGCCCCTGCTTAATGGAGACCCAGCAGGGAAAGAGTCAGTACGTGATACTGTGGGCAGTGAGATGCTCACTGGGGTGGAAAACACTGTGCTCAGGAACCTGTATGATGAAACCCAGCACAGGGCTGGTACTACAGCCCCCCTTGGTCTCTGCAGCCTCCCCCAGCAGGGACTGGAGCACCCCAGGGACTGAAGAACCCTGGGGAACTATGTATTTTGAGGACCAGAGCACTCCGGGGACTGGAGAACCCTGGGGACCAGAGCACCCTGGGCATCCCCAAAAGGCTCCTCACCCTCCTGTCTGTGGCACCGGTAGCTCCTGGGGTGGTGGTGGGACACCATACCGGGGGATGCACCAGGGATGTGGGCTGCACACACGCTCACAGTAGTGCTCTCATGGCCAAGCCTGCAGGACGGCCCCTCTCCCTCCCCTAATTAACTCCCTCCAAATGACCAGGAAAGCTGCCCGGCTGCTGCTTCACACTACAAACTGCTGTGATGAGGCCACGAGGAAGCGCAGTGGGTGCTTACCAGTGCCTGGTGTGAGGACTGGTCTACAGCAGCTACAGAGTCAGAGGAGCCGGGCTCAGCGTCAGCCAGGGCGAGCTCTATGTTCTCCTGGTGGGGGGGACACAGAAGCACGGTTAGTGGCTGCTCAGCGAGGGAGCAGCGACAGGGACCGGCAGCCAGTGAGGGTGTTGGTTTCAATGGGGTCTGAGCAGAAGACAGGGCTTTCCCTGGGGAGAACCCTGCTGCTCCGAGCATCGTGTCAGAGCTGCTTCGGTTGCACCCAGTCCAGAGCGACTGTGGGGTAAGAAACTGGGGGGACATGGTGGGGGATGCTCGCTCAGAGAGGGGAAGGGAGAGCAGGAGGGGACGAGGCGATGGCAGCCCTGGGTGTCCCCGGTACCTCCTTGTAGCGCTCCAGCTCACGGGCAAAGGTGCGCTGGTGGAAGAGGAGCTGCAGACGCTCTTGGGCGTAGTTGTGGCAGAGCTCCTCGAAGGTAGCCCCCCGGCTCTGCCCCGCCAGCTCGGGGTTTTGTGCCCCGGGGGTGTCCACCACCGTCACGGAGCACACCGAGTGCTGGCTTGACTTCAGCGCCCTGTGGGGGACAAAGGGACAACGCCGGGTGAGCGGGTGCTGCCGGTTCCCCACCACCACCAGATGCTCCACCAGTCCCCCAGCACCTACCTGTTGAGTAGGGAGATGAGGAGGGTGAAGAGCTCGGAGTACAAGCCGGCCGCCATGCCCTCCAGGCACTCCAGCGCCGTCAGTTTGGGACCTGGCCAAGGCAACCCTGAGCGTTCCCAGCCCGTTGTCCCCCGGGGCCACCCGTTGTCCCCACTGTCCCTCACCCTACCTGTGCTGCCGTCGCCCAGGGGAGGTTCATCGGGGCCCTGCCGGAAGGAGGTGGATCGCTGCAGGGTGCCCTTGGGCTGGTGCTTGAAGATGGAGGAGGAGAGCTCCTCCAGGCTGCAGCCCAGCAGGTAGGCGGCTTTCTGAGCCCACTCGTGGCGTGCAAACTGCTTCCTCCCAGCTGGAGGGTGGAGAAAAGGGGGCTCAGCGCTGGCCAAGGCATCCCCCTAAATGGGGGGCATCTCCAGCCAGACCTGAGATGGTCTCAGGGTCCCCCAGAGTAAGTTGGGGATGCACAGTGGGAGCACATGGCTGGCACTGGATGGCCAGGAAATGTGTTTTGGGGTCTGATTAGAGGAAATGGGGTGAACGGCTCTGTGCCTCTGCAGGGCTGAGCCTGGAATCACCCCATGGGGCAGGGAGTGGGGATCACCCCTCGCCACCGCTGCCTGGGGACCCCCTGGGGCTTGTGACAGTGCGGGGCTCTGAGCCACCACAGCACAGGGACATGTCCCTGCTCGGCCACATGCACCAACCAGCCGCGACACGGCAGGACAGACCACGGCTGCCAGACACAAGCACATGGACGCCAGAGGAGGGAAGGGGAGGTGGGAGCGGGTTAATGGTGACACGCAGGGACACGACAGGGGGAAGGCTGGTGGCAGGTGGGAGGGGGAAGCCAGAGACACGCGTGCGGAGAACAGGACTTTACCTTCGTCGGCGTCTGCATTGCAAAAGGGCAGCATGCACCATGCGAACAGAGACAGGGGTTAGAAACAACGGCACGCGACAGCGCGGACACGCGGCACGGGGACGCCCTCCTGCCGAAACCAACGCGCCACGCACACGCCAAGCCTGCTCTCCCCCCAGGCAACCCCACAGTGAGACGCTGAGACCCAGCATGGGGGCCCTTCCCCTGCGAGCCCCAGCCGCACCGTGGGCACTGGTGGGGAGCAGCTCAGCTCTGCTCCGGAGCATGGGGAGCCGCTCTCAGATCCAGCCTGGTATAAGCATCCAGGAGACAAGGAAATGGGGGTTGGTGTGGCCGAGCTGGCTCTGAGCATCTCCAGTGCCCATGAGATGCTCTGGGAGCAGCACAGAGATGGGGCTTGGCTGGTCACTCTGAGCAAGATGTGGGGATGCTCCCCCCAAGCAGGATTTGGGGTCCCCCCACAGCAGTGCCCCATGAAGAAGCTCCTGAGCTGCCAGAGCATCCCTGCTGCGGTGGCTGCAGTGGGGCCCTGCTGCCCTCTAGTGCCTCGAAGCACCCCGTGGACCAGCCCTGCACCCCGCTGTGCCCCCGAGACCCCGCCGGTCTTCTCCCTTCTCATCCCAAACTCATCTTTTCCCCCACAACTGCAAATGCCCTGGGTGCAGCCGCCAGCGCCGGGTGCCCATTTTGGGTGTGCTGTGCCCAGACCCTCTCACCAGCTCCCTGCAGCACCACGGGGTGAAAGCCCCAGGGGGAGAAAAGCAGCCCCACAAAGCCTAATTCACCGCCCCCAGGGGTGGAGAGTGAAGCTGGTGCCTGTCAGAGCAAGCCCTGTGACCCACGGTGAGCTCTGGATGCCAGGACAGCCCAGCCCCACCACACCAATGGTGCCAAGAGGACCGGGTGGGGGTGTCCTGATGTGCAGCAGGCAAATTTGGGGCTGCCAGGACCCAGCTGGGGGTCAAGGTTGGTCGTCCCGGCACACCAGCAGCATCCCAAGCCCCCATTTTAGCCCCAAAACCAGCACCGCGTGGCACCACCCAGAGCAGAGCCCCCCGTGGCTCCCATTACCGGCTCCGTCTGCCAGTGGCTCTGCAGGGAAGACGGGGGGAGAGGTGTTACTCTGGGGACGGGGGGACACACGACATCCCCTCGACTCCCTCAGCCCCAGCCAGGACTCCAGTCCCCCAAATTGGCAGGGGCCAGCCCAGGGTCGGGGGGCATTCCACTCCCACCACCCCAACCAAGGGGGTAAAGCCTGGTGTCCCAGAGCATCCTGGGTGGCAGGGCACTGTCCCTCAGCTGACACAGCCCCAAACACCCCCCCAGGGTTTGGCCACAGCAGGGGGGCCGTTTGCAAGGTGCCAAGGTGCCTGCGATCACTCTGGGACCCCATGCAGCCATCAGCCCTGAGCCCTCAGCTCGTTAATGCCTCCCAGCCTTGAGCAGCTCGTTACCTTTTGTGGCCCCAGCGGCCCCCAGATGATAAATGGCCCCCAGGATGAGCCAGAAGGCTTTCTGCTCATCGCCGGAGATGCCCATGACCTTCATGGCAGCCTGGAGTTTGTTGAACTGCTGTGTCGCCTTCTGCTTTTCCTCTGGCTGTGGAGAGCAATGGGAGCCATCAGTGTAGGTGCCCAGCTCTGCCTCCCCCTGCACCTGAACTGGCCAGGGAACCCCGTCCCACTCCATAACCCCTTCCCCAGCCCCACAGCAGTGACCTTGGAGAGAGGTGCGATGCCAAAGACGTTGTTCTCTGCCAGGTGGTTGAAGTGAAGCTCTGTCCTGTGGGGATAAACACCAAGATTGGCCCTGTATGGGAGACCCCGGAGAGCCCCCCGGGCCAGGAGCTGTGCCCTCGCCCCCCCAGCTCACCGCAGGGTGCTGTCAGAGCAGGCCAGCAGGTAGTAGAAGATGTTGAAGGTGGCCTCGTTGGCTGGGCGCTTGGCGACACGCAGCTTCTCCAGCAGCAGCGTCTGGTGGAGGTTGGGAGCGTTGGGAACCATCCTTGAGGGCCCCACTCCCACCAAGACCCCCCCAGCCCAACCCAAGTCTCATTCTTGCTGCCAGCTCAGGGTCCTCAGGGAGACATGAGGGTCTCCCACCCACCACAGGGCATCACAGGAATGCAAACACCATCCAAGCAACCTGTGAGCATCTCCTCTCCTGGGGTGTCTGCTACTCCAGGCGCATGAAGCAGCCCTCTTGAATTTTAAAGGCTCTGCTGTTATCACACCAGGGTGGCCTCTGGGAGAAAGATACCCTGATTTTGGGGCTAATTCAGACAAGGATGGGGAGTCAACCTGATCTGTGCACATCTGAGTGTGAACAAAGATGAGAGTGAGATGCCTGGCTGCTAAGCAGGGCGAGCACGGCCGGGCAGAGCTCACGTCTAGCGTGCAGCCAGGAAGAAAAGCCCCAGTGAGGATGGACCAGCTCTTGTACTGGGTAGGGGCCACCCCAGTGAGGACAGACTGGCTCCCGTGCCAATGAGGGGAGACCATGGTGGCCACCTCACCTGTACGGAGGCGGATGCCACCTGCCCAGCCTGGTCGAAGTCCAGAGAGATGATCTGGGAGAAGCGGGTGGCGTTGCCGTTCATGCCGGTGCTGCTATTGCCAAAAGCCTCCAGGATGGTGTAGAGAGCCTGCCATTTCTCCGCTGCGGGAAGAGAAGCGGGGGGGTGGGGTGCAGGGGCTGTGCGGCGGGTGGCCGGAGCCGGCACCGCTGGCCGGGCAAGCGCTGCTGCAGCTCCTGTGCCGTGCTCCGCGCCGCGGCAGCCCTCCAGAACGCGGTAAAGAGACCGGCGTGAGAAGGTGAACGCGTGCCCTGGGGCGTGTGTCCGGCCACCGCCGGGTGATGGAGGCTGCTGGGGGCTGTGACCGCAAAGCAAGGAGCGTGCGCAGGCGGCACGGGGATCCCGCACCCCGCCGGGGACTCACCGGAGAAGACCTTGCCGGTGCTGCCGGCGATGGTGGCGAGGTACTGGACGAGGTGCTGGCAGTTGGTGGTTTTGCCGCTGCCGCTGGCGCCCAGCAGCACGATGGCCTGGTCCTGGCGGTTCATCAGCATGCTGCGGTAGGCGGCCTGGGCCACCGCGTAGATGTGAGGGGACGTGTCCTCCCGGCGGCACCCTTTGAACATGTGCATGACCTGGGGGAGAGGGGGAAGCGGGCGAGGGTCAGCACCCTGCCACCCTCACCGGCTCCCTCTGAGCAGTGCCATGGCTTCCAGCCACTGGTCCCCCTCGCGCCCCACCGCCAGCAGCAGGGTCACCTTCTCAGAGTACATGGAAGGGGAGCTCAGTGGGTTGATGATGACCATGGTGGGGCCAGCGTAGGTGTGCAGGAGGTTGCCGCCGTAGCGCTGCCGCAGGGTGTGCAGCACACTGGACTCGTTGAGGTAGAGGAGGCTGGCAAGGTCTTCTGCGCGGTCACAGGAGGGGGGGTTCGCCTGGCAGCAAGGAGGAGGGGGCATCAGGCGGGGAACAGGGGTCTGCCCCACCGTCCCCCACCCCGCGGCCCTACCTTCTCCACGTCGTCCTCCTCCACCTCCAGGACGGTTCCATCGTGGTCCAGCTTCACCTTCACCTTGCCTTCGGGCAGGGGGCTGCCCTCCTCCAGCCGCAGTTGGCTGCCTGTGAGGGGCACGGAGCGCTCAGTGGGACCGTGCCAGCAGCCCCCTGGGGACACCATGGCCAGCCCATGGGGGGCTTGCTGTGCCATCGGGATGACAGGGCACCCAGTGTCCCGGCAGTGCCAGGCTGACCCCCGACTCACCCAAGGAGAACCCATCCCTGTGCACCAGCCACACCTTCTCGGTCTCATACCAGGCCTCCTCAGCTGCTATCTGCTCCTCTGTCTTGGCCTATGGGACAGTGGGACATGGAGTGGTCACAGTCACCTGCCCCCCATCCCCTCCCCACATCCCTGGGGCTGGAGGGAGCAGGGCTGCCTGGCCACCATGATAGACAGCCATGGCTACTCTCCGCAAGCCCCAAGCCCTCCCAGCTTGCCCACTGCCCCCAGGGACCCCTGTGGTCTCAGGGTTACAGAGGTCACCAGGGCCCTTGCCACAGCCCAGGGCAGACATGAAGCCACAGTGGCCCACAAGCACATCCATCGTGGCCACCTTGGACAAGCCTGGAGGGGCTGAGCTCCCAAACCACAGCCCAGAGAACGGGCATCCATGCCAGCTACGTGCCGGGATGCAGGGACACATGTGGGGACACATAGGACATGCTGCAGGGACACGGGGCAGGGACACAGGACACGCTGCAGGGACATAACGGAGGGACACAGGACGTGGCACAGGGATGGCAGAGTACCACGGCATGGGAAATGCCGGGCTGGGACGGCCAGCAAGCAGGGATGTCCCTGTCACCCAGGAGAAGGGTGAGCCCCAAAGCCAAACCTGAGCTGCAGCAGGGACGGGGCCAAAGGGGGCTGCCGGGGCATCGTCCGCTTGACCCTGGCAAGGCCGAGAGATGGGGCGTGAAGGCGAGAAGAGTTAATCTCTGCCCCACAGACTGCACAGAGAGCAGCGGGGGGAAGCGAGCGAGGGCAAAGTGCCACTCTGCCAAACCCCATGGGCACTCCTGGTGAGGGCCACCGCTGTGGCCAGTGGAGTGGCACATCCATCATGATGCTGGGGATGCACAGAGCCCAGGAAGGACATCACCGTGAGGTCCCACTGCCAAAGCCCCCGCTGCCAAAGCCCCCAGGGTTGGGGGCCACTGTGCCAACCCGCTGCAAGCCTGGCCAGCACTGCACGCCACGGCTGCTCTGGCACGAGCCATGCATTCTGCCTGTGCTGGGTGCTCTGCCCCTTTCCATCCTGCTCTGCACCCCTGCCCGCCCCAGCCGTGCCACCTCCACGGAGAGCACCCTCCCGGGACGCCCCGCTGGGGACAGGCACTCAGCCCCGGCCACCCCGGCACCCTCCGGCCCCGTGGGGAACGTGGCAGCCCACGGAGCGGTGCGGGTCGGGTAAAGCCTTACGCTCCAGCACGAGGCGCGGGCGCAGACACCAGCCCAGATGGATGGCGGGGGGTCGCTGGCGGAGGCAGAGGGCTCCTGAGGACGGGGGTACGATACCTGGCTGGGTGCCGAGGCGGGGGCGGCGGGGTCCAGCTAACAGCAGCGAGGAAGGAGGAGAGAAAGGAGAAGAGAAGGGGTGAGAGGCAGAGAGCAGCAGCAGCAGCACCACGACGCTCCACGGGGGCCCAACACAGCCACAACCCCCACGGAACCGCCTGGGCATCCCCCAGCCATGGGCAGCCGTGCCTGGGCTGCAGTGGGGGCTGCTGGGCATCGCTGGTCTGGGCAGCGACCCCAAACCCACTGGTATCTCCAGTCACCCATCCCCTCCTGCCAGTGCCAACCCAGAGATGGACCACAGGGCTGGTGGCTGGGCACAGGGGTACAATCACCCCGTGCAGAAGACATGGCACGGCCAGGGCAGCCACACGCTGCCCCTACGTCCCCCTCCCCGAGCGGGCGGCACACGAGGGCCAACACCCCTGGCATTACAGAAGCGGTGAAGATCCTCTCCAGCCGGCGCTGTGCCTCCTCCGACGGGCTCAGCTGGGATGCGGGGCCGGGGGCAGCCTGGAGGCAGAGCACCATTAGCACCAGGTCGGCTGCCCCGCAGCCCCCGCCTGCCCTGCAGCCCCTGCTGGCACCGCAGCCCCCGCCAGCACCGCAGCCCCCGCCAGCCCTACGCTCGCAGGCAGCAGAGGGGCTATCGCAGAGGCTTTCCCAGCCCTACAGCCCTTTGGCACTCAGGGCAGGTACCAGGGCAAAGGCTGGCACAGACCTGCGAGCCCTGAGGCTGGCACAGCCGGGGTACCGGTGGGTTCCCCGCACTGCCCAGGGACCCACATCCCCACTCCCACACACCTGCTGGGGGGGTGCCGGGGCAGTTTTCGTGGGGGTCGGCCGCTTCTCACCGGGCTGCAGCTTCTTCTCCACACGAGCCGGGGTGGGGGGGGGAGATAAGGGGCAGAGTGATGGGATGGCCGCAGCACATACAACTATCCCCAAAAGTGACCCCCACCCAGCACTGCACACCCCAAAAAACCACTGCAAACCATGCGGGTGAGCTCACACCATGCCGCGCCGGGTGGCACAACCCCAAGGCTGTGTTAAAGCATCCCTCGCTGCGCACACACCAGTACCTTGTGCCTCTCCAGGGCGGTGGGTTTCGGAGCGGGTGCCTTTGTGGGCTCCGCTTTCCCTCCCGAAGGCTGCGCCGGGGGCTCCGGCTTGGCTTCGGCGCCTGGGGACAGGGACGGCTTCGCGTCCCCCCCGGCTGGCTCGGGGGACTTCTCCTCCCTCTTGTCCCCTGGCCGGAGCCGTGGCCGGTGCTCTTTAGTTTTGCCTTTCGCCATGAGGGTTTTGAGCCCTGCTGAGATCTCATCCTTGGGCTCTGGTTTGGTGGGTGCTGCCGGAATGGTGGGAGGAGGCGGCGGGGCCGGGGGAGCCGGGACAGCAGGACGGCCCGTCTCCTCCTTCCTGGGGGGCGGCACTGGCTCGGGAGACTTGGAGTCTCGCCCAGGCTCCTTGGTGCCGCCGGCGTCCTCCCCCGGCAGGACTTTGCGGACCACCTTGCGCACCACCCGGACCACCCTGCGGCGGGACAGCCCCTGGCCATCGTCCCCCTGCGCCTCGGTGGCCGGACCCTCCAGCCCATTCACGGCCGCCCCGTTCATCACGGGCTCCGGGCTCTTCCCTTGCCCAGGGGGTGGCTCGGGGCTCTTCGGGGGCTCAGGAGTCGGGGGCTCAGGATTCGGGGGTGCAGATGCTGCATCCTTGGGGGTCTCTGACTGCAGCCACAATGACACGGGTGTGAGTGCAGGTCTGGTAGCGCAGCGCCTGCCACCGCAAGCACCCTCTGCTTGGGACACGGTGATGCCTGGGGTTTCGTGCCCAGTTCCCGGCCAGACCCCAGCACCAAGGGACAAAACATCCAGTCCCCTTCCCCAGCCAACCTGCAGCCCCCCGCAGGACCCCAGGGGAGTGATGATGGACTCCCCGGCCCCACACTCAGGGACACGTCGACCCTGGGGCTGCCAGTATGGGGGTAAAACTCAGGGCTCAGGGCACCAGCAGCCTCTCTGCAACGCACCAGGCAAGCCCTAAGATTTCCTCCACCAACAGCATTGGCGGGCAGCATGGAAGCCAGCACTGTAACCATGGGCCAAAAACACCCACCACCCTCCACACGCTGCCCTGGAGCTCCCCAGGGACCGAGGCTGGGGGGGATGCTGAGCCCACAACCCTCTGTGATGTCCCCAAACCCTGGGACGGGGTCTGTCCCCAAGGGTGACCCCCATCCCCGACACAGCTCCACCCTACCCATGCCCTGCGACACTTACAGCCCCATCCTCCTTCCCGGGTCTTTTCACAGCTAAGGATTTGTCCTCGTCCTTGACCTGAGGGTCAGACAAACAAGAGGAGCGTGTTTCAACCCACCGCGGGGCCTCGCTGCCAGAAAAGCCACAGGGAGTGGGAAAAGCCACCGGGGGGGCTTTTCCATGCCAGGAGGGCAAGAGGCTGCTCCATGAAACAGCTACAATTTACAGCCCCAGGGGAACGTGTCCCTCCGGGCAGGCAAAAAAGTGGGGGGAAGCGCAGAGATGTGCCCCAGTTATGGCAAACCCCAAAAGTGGGAGAAGAAAGCTCTCTGCCCACCTGGCCCAGGCCCCCCCCTCGCATGCAGCGTGCGAGAGAGCTGGTTCATAGAGCCCGTCCCCGCTCCCCACGGGGGCTCTGCCTTTCTGCACGTCACCCCGCCGGGTGTCACAGCACGTTTTAAGTGTCACCAGCTAATCTCTGCGGCAGCCACACTGTGGGACGTGCCAGCTCCCAGCCAAGTGGGGCAACCAGGGGTCTCTGGAGGGGTGGGCAACCAAACCATCCCCTGCCCAGGGCTGTGCCTCCGAGCTCCAGGGCTCGGCCACGGCACCGGGGTGGCAGGACGTCGTGTACCTCACGGGTAACACTCCCCAACTCGCTGTTGCACAGCTCCTGCAAGTCCCCAGGGCGGGCTGGTGGCACCGAGGTGGCTCACACCGTGTTAGGGGCTGCACCAGTCACTCGCAAAGCAGTTCGTTAGTGATGGTGTTAGCAATCACATGCGTGGCTGCGTTGGTGACCGCAGCCGTGCTCCGGTGGGGACACGGAGCAGCTCCCCGTTTGCTCAGCGCAGCCCCCGGCGCGGCAGCGCAGCACGAGGCCGGGGGCACCGCTCCGAACGTGGCGCTGGGCAAACTTGGGGGGGGGGGGGGGC